TTTGTGGTAACTGTGAGAACCAATATTAACCACAAATCAATAGATAAATTAGGAAATTTATAATTTTGGCAATTTTGAATTAAAATATTAATGCAAGGATATTTTTGGTATTTTAAAACTTTCCTCCCTCCTCTCTTCTCTCTCCGGGCACCGTCCCCCGGCCACCGTCCTCCGGTGATACTACAATGGTATCAAAATGCATCATATATGTGTTTGGGTATCACATTGATGTCGTTTGTGTGGTCGATTGAAGATGTAACACAGTGGTATCACTATGCATCTTATATATGATTAGRTATCACAATGTATCTTTTGTTTAACAGAGTCAATATTTTTAGGTATCACAGTCGTATCATAGTGGTATCACTGGAGGACGGTGGCCGGAGAACGGTGGCCGTAGGGGCTTAATCAAATGAGAACTGAGTTGTTTGTGGTAACCGTGAGATCCAATCTTAACCACACACCCTAATAATCAATGGTTAAAATTGAAAGGATTCCTAATTAATATAATTCCTAAAATAACATACTGACATTTAATGATATAATGGAAAGAAGGGCAAGATTGTCATTTTCTTTTTTAAGTTATTAAGACGGATTTGAGCGCGCGCTACAAATCCGTTAATATTCTTATTATACAATGTTCAAATCGAACCCAAATAAAGTCAAGATACGGTCAATTTTTCGAGAAGGAGTCGATTCCCCTAAACCCTAGAGTCGATCACAAGTGGAACCATATACATCGTGATTACACTTAGTATCGATGATAATATTTGTGTGGTACATCGTGATAACACTTAGTATTCCTTGTTTCCATTCAATTTGTGCTACATTTTGACAAATAGTCTAACTCTTCCCTAAGTATTTGGAAGAACAGAACTCAGCCTTAACCAACCTCAATAAAATGTGYGCAGTAGCGGGCAAGACTACAYTTSAACYACAAAAGAGAAATAACATCACCAATGCCCATTCCTKTTTAGACAATTGTGGACATTGGTACTCCAGCATAGCATGGCTCTTCACCTGTAATGAAATCTAGTGGAACCAAATCTTGAATACCCTTCATTGATTCTTTGTAATGAAAACAAGTACCACACCATAGGTAATTGTGTAACATGTTTGTGGTACCATGTGGTGTGGTATATTGTGGTATGTAACCAATTAGAACTACTTGTGCATGGTAATGTATCACATGAAACAAAACAGTTATTGGTACCACATGAAACCACATCTGTAATATATGAGAACTGTGCTACCGACTGTTGCCTGAGAAAACACAAACACTGTTAGGGTACCACACCACAAGTAATTGGGACATTTAAATGTAGGGGACACAGAGAGCATATCAATGTTTGTATGTTTGGTTTGGAATAGCAAACTATAGTACTGAGAGAAAGTGTACCTAACAAAAGAGAAGCTTTAGTAATTGGGACGTATGTTAAATCCTCATGAACACCACTTTCACAATGGCATTTTTTTCAGTTGTAGCTCTTTGATGGCATTTACTTCATTCATTAAGTGTTTTTTTTACTTTATTAAGAAAAGGTATTCACGTTTTAAATGTTGAGTCTTTGCATCTCTTTGTAATAAAGCAATCAGTGAGTTCCATCTGAGTTTGATTTATTTTTTTGAATTGAGAAGGTTTAATGTTTTTGTGTAGAACTGGAGATTTTCATGCTTTAAGGATRAAAACTCTTCTTTGGATTACACCATCCCGGAGACTGCAGAAGATACGTTGCCAGGAGAGGCTCTAGAACCAGAACCGAACCAACCAAATGTGAAGCATGATTGGCCTTCAAACCTTAGAAAGGTAATTATTTGAGTTAGTTGATACTTGCATAGTTGCATTGACTTCAATGATGCTACGTATGCTTTCCATTGATAATCAATGGAAGGATTTCAATAAAGATGAAGACTGTGCAAGTGAAACATCCATGTAACAGAGTAGCATTTATGCGTGACATAATGTACAACACAATTGTGCTTCAGCGGAAGTGGAAACAAGAACATGCGTTGTTGAGATACAATACCATTGATTATCTTCTTACTATGCTTTTAATTTTTTGAATTTGTTGGAGAGAGAGAGAAAAGATTCTCAACTCCATGCAGTAAAGGTGAAACTTGCTCAACCCCCTGTGCTTCATTTTGTTGAATACTTGCATGTGTTTTTCAGGCTGTAGATGCTATATTTAGAGCAAAACCATGCACAGTGCCATGGACGGCTAAGACCATTCTTCAGGTGCAACTCTTTGCTTTTGTCAATTGCCACTTTATTTTTCATGGATTATTCTCTGTGTTGACCACCTAATGCCATTACTTACCCGGTGTCAGCCATATTATCAGTCAAATGAAATGGTCCAGAAAAATAATGAAAAGCCACATGCGAGTAGTTATTAAATTCATATGTAAT